CATAGTGTGTACTAATAACCTAAAACAATTCACAGTGGTGAAGAAATAAATCATAGTGTGTGCACACAACCTCAAGCAATTCACAGTGTTGAAGAAATAAATCATAGTGTGTGCACACAACCTCAAGCAATTCACAGTGGTGAAGAAATAAATCATAGTGTGTACACACAACCTAAAGCAATTTACATTGTTGATACACTGTCTGTTACTCTCTTGAAACACAGTGTGCGCCTGTCCACGGTGTTGACATACTGCTTTCACATGATACACACTGCTTTTCTGGTATATCACAGTGTGTTTTCTATGTACGTTTTTCCGTATGGCTAGATCTACTAATCCTTCTTTTCTTGAATTGCTAAAGCTAGTCTCCAGCTCTAACAGTCCCTTTAATTCTGAAATGCCTAATCTATTTGCTAAGTTTGATAAACTAGATGCCTTTTCCCATATGCCACTGATGTTGGCCTGTCTCTTAAGTCTACAAAAATCGTTAAGAAATTTCAGAACGAAACATTTGATGTCTAAATACGACATGGTTGTTTTCTCATCAAATGAAGTACAAGTTTCGTTGAATGAAATTTAATTTTTTTTATTAAGCAAAAAATTTATAACACTTTCCTTTTTTAATCATGTTAAAACATTAAGTGTTACTCCCTCATATTAGAGGCATTTTAAATCAGTACGTGTTACGCCCTCCTATTACAGGCATTTTAAAACACAAAACTTGTGACACTTTCCTATATTAATCACGTTAAAACAGTAAGTATCACGACCTCCTATTACAGGCATGTTAAAACAGTAGGTGTGGCACCCTCCTATTACAGGCAGCATGTTAAGACACAAAACTTATGACATTTTCCTATTTTAATCATATAAAAACAGTAAGTGTTACGCCCTCCTATTACAGGCATGTTAAAACAGTAAATGTAGCGCACACCTGCTTTAGTCATTTTGTATCCTGACATCGCCTACCGGTATACAGTTAATTAATAGTTCTATTCTGTTAATGCTGTAATTTGCTGTATACACAGAGATTTTGATAAGAAATTTAAACGCTCGTTATAAAAAAAAATATATAACACGTATTTTCTTTAATCATTTACGTGTGTAAATTTTGGATGACAGTTCGTTTGTGGATCCAACTTTTCTTGTTTTTTAACATAAAGTTTTGCTACAACATGGGATCTATTGGTTCATCTCGGCTGTTCAATACTGTAAACTAAACTAAAACTATTAATAAATACATTTAAAAAAATCTTAAAACCAGCCCTTATCATTCATATACTTATCAAGCTTTCTCTTAAACTTACCTAAATTCCACAACACCCGAAGGCAACCCATTCCAAAGTCCAACCACCCTGTTAGAAAAATAAAACTGTCTTAGCTGAAGATGACTCCTACCCTGCCAAAATTTATACTTGTGTCCCCTAGTCCTACTATTCTCACAATCTTATTCTCATACCTCGTGAGAAACATTTAGATAAATGTTTACATGTTATATTTCTGGTTTGTTTGACGCATCCACCCTAAACACGTGTTATTACTGTGCGTGCCTACTATTTTCCCATTACTACAAGAAAGAAAATGTAAGTACGTTAAATCACATCTGGTCTCTTTACCCTGCTAGACAAATTAAAGTTTCAGTTCGTATTATCACTTTACCCTTAATTAAAATCATATAGGATTTAGAAGGCACGTTTGGTTGGCTTTCCTGTAAAGTTTGGTGCTCCACTGATCGATTGGTTTTTCCGTTAACATGTCACAAAATAACGTTCGTAGATAAGACGGAACAAAACGTTTGCTCCAACAATAACTTCTTGGCTACTGAAACTGATGAATATAATAAGAACGTGGCGCTACATTAAGTAAGAGTTTTGGTTTTTGAATTTCCCGGTAAAACGGTTCAATAACGCGTGTTTATTGATATTACGAATCAGTTTTCGGTAACTACTGTACGCACATCCAAATTACTTGATGTTAAACAAATATGCAGTATAAACATTAAAAGATATTGCTTTTGAACTGTTTAACTATTCTTTATTCCAGTGTGTCTGTAACTGTGTAAAATGTTTGATCTTCGTTTGTCGAACATTTAGATATGATATATTGATAGTATATTATACTGCAAATGTATTACTATGGTCAACGGTTTTAAATTCAGAGCGGCTATGCCTGAACATTTAGGGTTTCTGACCTGATGGTTTAGGCAAAATGCCGTTCGAGTTGAAATTTGTGTTTTGTAATTGCCAAAGAGTAATGAATTTCTAGGTAATTAATTACCTATAGGTTTACTTGATATGACTTTTTGTAATAGATGTACTTCAGCAACAGGTTCCGTGTATTATCACTCTTCTCATCGATTGTAAAACAATATGAAAAAAAAGTCCCCTTTTTTATTGCACTTAATACATTTATTTTTTGTAAATAAAAAAAGGGCAATTAGGAGGCAATCAAGCGAAACAACTCTCAAGTACAGTTGGACTAGTGACAGGGCATTGTCCTAAACGCGACAACAGTTTGAACATTGTTCTGTTACTCCGTGTCAGTTTTTGTCTTTATCGTCCTAAATAAATCTCTCTTTTAAAAGCTTAACTAAAAATAAATAGAAGAAAACAGACTTTACTTTAAAACAAATAAACTATATATATGTATGTTAATTTATCTTCTATGATTTACAGCCTAGTTCGTGCTATTGTACCCAAGAAATTACCAGACAAGCTTAAAAAAAACAACAAATTATAACCTCGTATCCACCAAGTGTTCAATGTTGGACATATGCAATTCACGCTCTTATTGAAGCAGTCATAGTCACAAGCGGAGCGTGACAGACGAAACCTCGAACACAGAAGTCTTGGTAACAGACCTCTAACCTCCATCTACACGTTTTCTGGCAGGTTGCCAAGGTCTCATGACTCACCAGCAGAATCCTGAGTAGAGTCTGTAACTGGATCTTGTGGTCGCACTTCTTGGAACCGCTATTGGCCGGCATTGGAACTGATAAAAATAAATTATGGCAAAATCTGTTAAGCATATGATCTCAAATAGTTTTAGATAACAAAAAAATATATGTATGTGCACATATATATATATATATATTTGAATTGACTTTATATATATATATATATACATAGTTGTATTGACCTTATTCTTATCATCATTATGTAAAAAAAGAAGTTAATATAAATATCTGAAATCGTAAAACAATTAACTTTTACATTTTTGTTAACCGAATTAAATTAATGGCGGGCACCTAGCAACACCGTGTATTGACAGCATTGGAAATTGTAGGGAGAAATATTACGTAATGTGTGTATCCAATCATCTTTTTATTCTACAGTAAACAAGTAAAGAAATAACTTTTCAAAAAAAAGGAAGTAAATGTAGGGATGGCTAATATCAATCCTTCAAAAACAATGCAAACAAAATAATAGGGATGATATTTGCATCATCCTTACAGACAAAACTAGGATAAATTAAACTCAATCGTGATTGAATATATATATATATATATATATATTGCTATATGTTAATTCTTGCCTGTGTAATTATGTAGGGATGATACAAATGCCATCTCTACTATCTTGTTTGCATTGTTTTTGAAGGATTGGTAGCTAAGTTCTAAAAACAATGTGGTTCCAACTGTAATATTTATTGTTTATCTATATTGGCTGGTAATTCATATTTCATCATGTACTCAAGCTTTTTAAAAGAAACACAAAATCTCTGTAAGAAAGCTAACTTCAAGGAGTAAAGATAATATCGTTTACACTAGAATTATATTTTTCTAATTACTACTAGTTATTAATAATACTTACAAAAGCGGATACTCCGTTTGAAACTATGTAAAATTGGTTGACACCACTGTTTTGTTTTTTGAATTATAATGTAATAAACAAGAAGCAGAAGAAAGAAGAACAAGAAATTCAAACTTTTTGTTATGATATTTACAGACATTTCCAGAACTTGTGGCTCAGTCATTACATAGATATTGTTATAAAAAGAAATACCGTTTAGTATTGTAATGTTGCCCGGATGGTAGCACTGCCTATGTAGGGATGTCTCGGATTGCTCATCGAAATGGTATTTTAAATATCTCTTCAATAGGCCATCAGAAGTAATTGGTTTTTATTGGATATTAGTTGTGAAGTAATTGGTTTTTATTGGATATTAGTTGTGAAGTAATTGGTGTTTATTACATATCAGTTGTAAAGAAAATGACTTTTAATATTACGCTAGTTTTGAAGAATGTGGTTCAATAGATAATTTCTCTATTGACAGTGTGAACGTATAGTACCTAGTTTCCTGATGTTTTTTAAATTTTGTAATAAATAATTATATCATTTGAAAGTATGGGAGATACTGTTAATGTAAGATAATGGTAAAACAAAACAGTAATAATGAACAGTTTGTATATCAGGCAGGAGGTAGCACTGCCTATGTAGGGATGCACAACTAATATGCAATAAAAACCAATTGCTTACCAAATAGTATATTAAAAATTTGGTTCTCTAATTCTTTCTGCTTTCTATCCCTGATTATTCAGTTGTGTAAAGTACAAATGTAAATTAGCTAAACGTTTTAACCAACAAGTAGGCAACAGAAGCTCGATATTAAAATAATTTTTGACCATATACAACCTCCAAGTTTTTGTAACGCCTTCCAAAATAAGAAAGATAACCTGAACCAATATATTTTCGATGTATTATTTTAGCATTGTTCGTTTTATCAATTACAAAAATAGAAATAGAATTCATTGAATGAATTGTATTTTGAAAATACACGTTATTTTATTTTGAATTTCATTAATACATTTTATTTTCTTTTTCTCACAGCACCATGATTATTCTATAAATAAAACAAAATATCCTTATAACAGTACTTGTCTTATTGTATTCGTACACTGATTACTTATGATGTTATGTCTTACCGTAAATTCTTAATTCTCGCTCTGCTCTCTCGGTTTGGAAAGAGGGCGCTTCAGCTGAGACTTCGCAACGATAAGTACCTTCGGAGTCTAAGTCTGTCCGGAATAATGACACGTGACTTTCTCCAGATCTCTCCAACTATAAAATAAGATATAAAATTATTAAGAACGGTAAAAAATCTCCCAAGCAAAATGTTTTTATACCTTCAAAGACTATTTCTTTACTGATTAAGAACCCAATAAGGGTTATTTTGTATATTCTTAATTGATGTTAAATTACAAAATATTAATAACTGATTGAAGTTGGCGAATGTTTGTTTAGGGGACAGAACATATGCACTGAAGCACCTACGTCATTTCCTCATTTGACTCATAATTTAATATTACTTATAAGAATTGGGAATATAGTCTTATAGGCAGTGTATCCCAACTGCTACATTCGCTCCTCCTTCTTCTTAGCTATGTCGTCTGCTATGACAACTAAGTGCTTAAACAGAACATTTTTAATTTATATTTACTAGCAAGTACTCAAAGACAAAGCCTCAAATTGCACCATTAACGTGACATGTAGAAATATACTCGTATAATAGATGTCATTCAGTAACCACTAATTGTTTGGTATATTTCTGAATCATCAGTCTCTTGCACAATGCCTCCTCCATCCTAATGCTACAGTAACCAGAAGCAGCATTGTGTAATTACTCCAGTTGAACAACAACAAAAATAATCAAAAACATGTAGTGCGATCAGTCTGACTTATAACAGGTCATCCCGTGTCCTGTGCTGGGGGTTCCTAAACTTGGGGCCACAGGAAAATGTCAGGGGGCGTCGCAAGTTAATAAAATAAGCAACATTGTTAGGGTACTCAGTATCTGTAGTTTCAGACAGAGGGGAAGGGCTCAGTCAAGATGTAAAATGTTCATGGGACTTGTGATGGGAATCCTTGTTCTCTGTTACTAATTATATTACTTTTGCTACGTTTGTAATAAGTAATTTGCTTTCAGTTATATATATAATGAAATAACTAATAATAGCACGTGTTTCCCTCCAAATATCTAAATAATCAAACTCAATTACCCAGTTTATATATAGCTTTCACAAGTAATTTAAAAGGAGGAAAAGATGAGTAACGAAGATATTGGCTTGCTTAGGTTGTAATGAATACGTTGATATCTTTATCGAAGTAATTTACACACAAATATTGTAAGAACGAGCATCTGGGAACAACTAAACCACGTTTACTAGAAAACTGAGATATATATTTTTAATTGAAATCACATTAAAATTAACTTGATCATAGTAAGGCGAAGTCATGCATAAAAAATAGAAGATACAGCATAACAGAAACTTTATACGCTGGAATGTGGGATGTAATATCATTTTTTCTCTAATTGTTGGCTCGAGATACGTAACTGTTTTCCCTGTGATCTGTGCATGTATCCTTGAATATCAGAGCCAAGTTAAGTGATCCCTGTTAGCGCCTAACCCTCCCAAGAAACTTGTAATTTACAATGGTATTCACACACATACAAGGGAAATAAAGAGGGTTGAGTATGTTATATTAAAGGGATTTTAATGAGCAAATCATCAAGTCACGTGACAATCATAGCCAATATAAAGTCGAGGTGAAACGGATGTATCAGAACTACATTTTGACATTGGAAATGTCCATTTGATTCATAACATTTCTGCACAGTCGAACAATTTGACGCCCTATAACTTCTGGCACGGGACGTGACATGACTCTACACCAAGCACAGAGAAATTGTCTGAAAAAAACATTGATATGCTTCGAAAAAGATTATACCAGAAGCACGCGCTTTTGTACAAAACAGATCTGTATGCGTGTTTTGACGAACAAACACTCAAAATAACTTATATAGACCAGAATAACAACTCGTACATGTTTGTCCGGTCATACGCTACTTTTTCTGTTACTACTCGGGAATTTACGCAATAACTACTCCATTTTAGCCAAGACTGTATGTATGCGTTCGATAGCGATGTATATAAAGCAGTTTCATTGCCTAATTTGGCAAACCAATTGTTTTCTGTTCGCAGAGTGACTGTGTAAATATATATATTAAATGATTTAATCTGCTGATAATGCCTATTACATTATTTTACGTGCCACTTGAGATATGACTCATTATTTAGGTATTTTGAACATGATTGTATTAACTTTCTTTGAGCCGTTATACATACTACACCAAATCTGATAGGATCACTTTTTCTAAAATAACTATAGAAAATGACAAAGTGATTAGTAAACATTAAAGATTGTGAACTCTCACATGCCCATAGATGTATTCACTTTTTTTAAATATGTATTATCAACTTAATATGCAAGATAATAGTTTTTGGAGGGTCAAAGTCACAGTAAGGTCACGAAAATCCAACAATTCGTATCTCTTAACATGGGGACCGATCTTTTGAACCTATTTTTACTCTATAATTCGGTCAAAAATGGCCAAGCTTTGTTGAAACTTGATGGACTTCTGTAAAATATTATTCCTCATTCTCCTACTAATAGTGGTCCGTGTTCGTTCATAACGACGGACATACGAACACGTTTTCGTATTTTTTTGATGGCCGCTCTACTGAGTGTCCCTCTAGTTATTTTTATTATTGTTATTGAAACGTGCGTAAGAAAGCTCGGGGCACTGACCAAATTCTAATGAACGTTGATTAGCTTATGTATCAACCTGAACCATCTTAATGTAATCTGGCATCCTATTTATATTGATTGTTAACATGATTATTATTAATTCTGCTATCTATTTCTTTAGTATCATAAGTACATGATCACAGTATGAATGATACAATAATTGATGCAAATGGTTGTTAATTAATTAAATTGCTGCTTCCCAGCGGTACAGCAGAAAGTTAGAAGGCTTATAATTCTAAAAAACGGGTTTTGATACACGTGGTAGGCACATCACAGATAGTCTATTGTGTAGCTTTGCGCTTAACTACAAACAAACAATCTTAAATTGCATATTTAAAGTGCCATCTAAGTGTTTATTATTAAGTACAAAGCTATACAATGGGCTATCTGTGTTCTGCCCAAAGCTGTTTGGCCCAGAATAATTTAAAATTATTTAATCAATTCAAACTTCGGTAAATTATCTCTGGAGTTATATCATACAATTCGGAAATAAAGTAGTTTGATGGTGAATTTAAATTTCTGAAGAATTAGCTGAATTTTAGGATTGTTTAAAGAATTACAAAGATATATATATATCTATATATAATTGCAGTAAAAATAAAACCAAAGTCTGACTCGTAAGGAAAGAAATCAAACCAAAGAGAAAATGTCTACGCGAGCCTCATTTTAAGAAAGCCCGGTGAATCACAATTAATTCTATATACGGACTTAGCTAAAATGTGGGGTTCGATTCTCCGCGGTGGCCCGAGTGTAAATAGTCCATTATTTATTTTACGCTAAAAGAACAATTCTATTTAAGGTATTAATATTAAGGCAGGAATAAAGTAGTCGTTATTCAATATTTCATAAAGCTGGGAAAGGTTTTCACGAAGAACCATTTTTCGAGCAACTGTTAAATTAATCAAAATTTAGTCCCAGGAGGACACCAATACACAATTAATCATCAAGTAGTAAGAAACAAGAAGGTTTAAGCAAGAAATTATTGAAGAATTAATACTACCAGGTCGAGACTTAAAAATAAACATCAGAACCATCAAGACTGCAAGTGAATAATCTTAGTTATAGTGTGGTAAATCTTAACGAAATTAATCTTCTGAAAAAACAGGACATACAAGCGCAATCAGTTACAATGCTTGTCGATTAATCACTTGCATAGGATCTTTAAGTATGTACTTGGAAGATATTTTTTCTTGAATGAACAAAAGGTTAAATGAGTTGAATATCATTTCTGTCACATTAAAAACTGTAAAAAAAACTAAAGATGATATATTTAAGATGTAAGAGAGTGTTAAATGTGTGTGTGTGTGTGTAAAATTATTCGAAAAAGATGGATACTAATATGATAGACGAAAGTTTAACAATCCAAATCACAGAGAGTTTAGTCTTATGATAAGTTAGTTTCCGAGTTAGCGGAGTTCGCTATTACTGTTCTGAAAAGTACGTATTTAAAAATTTATGTATTAAATACTTTAACGTAATCCATATACATGTAAAGAAACGCTTTCGTCTGACGTTTTCAACATGAAAAGCACTCTAATCACATAACTGTCTATGAGTTTAGCAAACTTAACTCAAAATGTTTAAAAAAATTCAACCATCAACTTGCCTTCATTAACCATACAAACCCAACTTCACTCACTTTCTCGCACGTGATGGGCTTCACCTCAACTTTCCTGGTTTCTCTACCTGGCTTCAAACTTCAAATACCTAATTTCTCGCAGTATTCTCCTAGTCTTATCCTCTTCTTCCAAATTACCCCAACCATATTTACTCTTCCAAGTTATCTCAACCATATTCACTCTTACAAGTTATCTCAACCATATTTACTCGTCCAAGTTACCCCAACCATATTCACTCTTCCAAGTTACCTCAACCATATTCACTCTTCCAAGTTACCCCAACAACATTAACTCTTCCAAGTTACCTCAACCATATTCACTCTTCCAAGTTACCTCAACCGTATTCACTTTTCTATTACTAGCAGTTCCTCCATCGTTCCCTATTCAATATCCACATCTTACAACGTTTGTTCAATCTTCCCATTACTATACAATAGGTTCTGTTTCTAAGATTTATTGGATGTTCGTCAGTTCATATTTCAGTTTGAAATGTCTATACAACAGATTCTCTTTTTGAGATTTATTTAATGTAAATCAGTTCATATTTCTCTATGAAATGCCTATACGGCAGATTCTGTTTTTAAGATCTCTTGGATGTTCGTCCGTTCTTACTTCAGTTCCGCTTATAATAGCTCATAAGCTGATGTATTTAGATCGCGTTCCTTGACTTTAGAACTAAAATACCTTTATTTCTGAAGCCAATTCTTGCTAGTAAATATGTACTCTGCCAGTATGAACCCTGGTATCTTTAAAACTAAACACAATCAAAGTTTCTATTCCATTTTTAGCCGATGTTTGGGTAATAATTGCTGCTATATATTTTCGGTATGTTCACAGCGTACATTACCCTAA